CCAACAACAGTGCACACGCTGAAATGTCTCGCCTTCTTAACTAATCACTGATATTATGTTGATAGTCCTTAATATAAAGCTTTATTACAACTGTCACATAAACTTAACATTAACCAAGAAAACTAAACATTGACCAATGAACCATGAAAATGAGGTCAAGGTCAGATGAACCATGCCAGGCAGGCATGTACAGCTAACAATTCTTCCATACAACAAATATAGTTGACCTATTGCTTATAGTTTAAGAAAAACAGACCAAAACACAAAAACTTAACAGAGCAATGAACTGTGAAAATGAGGTCAAGGTCAAATAAAACCTGCACGACTGACATAAAGATCATAAAATATTTCCATACACCAAATATAGTTGACCTATTGCATAGAGTATTAGAAAAAAAGACCAAAACCCAAAATCTTAACTTTGACCACTGAACCATGAAAATGAGGTCAAGGTCAAATGACACCTGCCAGCTAGATATGTACATCTTACAATCATTCCATACACCAAATATAGTAGACCAATGGCATACAGTATAAGAAAAACAGACCAAAACACAAAAACTTAACTATAACCACTGAACCATGAAAATGAGGTCAAGGTCAGATGACACCTGCCAGTTGGACATGTACACCTTACAGTCCTTCCATACACCGAATATACTTGACCTATTGCTTATAGTATCTGAGATATGGACTTGACCACCAAAACTTAACCTTGTTCACTGATCCATGAAATGAGGTTGAGGTCAAGTGAAAACTATCTGACGGGCATGAGGACCTTGCAAGGTACGCACATACCAAACATAGTTATCCTACTACTTATAATAAGAGAGAATTTAACATTACAAAAAATGTTAACTTTTTTTTCAAGTAGTCACTAAACCATGAAAATGAGGTCAAGGACATTGGACATGTGGCTGACGGAAACTTCGTAACATGAGGCATCCATATACAAAGTATGAAGCAGCCAGGTCTTCCATCTTCTAAAATATAAAGCTTTTAAGAAGTTAGCTAACACCGCCGCTGCCACACCACTATCCCTATGTCGAGCTATCTGCGACAAAAGTCGCAGGCTCGACAAAAACTGGAAAATCCCAATAAAACCCCATAACTCAGAAATGTAAAATCTAAAATTTATAAAATTCTAAAGGGAGCTTACGGATTGATAATTTAGTCTTAGATGCAAGATTTTTTTATCAGTTGTTAGTGGCTTTGAACTAGCTGTCAGTAACTGCGAGTACTCTCAGATCTGTACTTAGTGTCTTTTTGTTGTTTGGATGTACAACTACCCGACCACGTCCACTTGTATTTGTATTTATCCATCTGATGAGTTAAGCCTCTTTCAACTGATTTTTATAGTTTGTTCTTATATTGTACTGTTACAACACTGTCCCAGGTTAGGGGGAAGGTTGGGAGTCCGCTAACATTTTTAACCCCGACACATTCTGTATGTACATGTATGTGCCTGTCCCATGTCAGGAGCCTGTAATTCAGTGGTTGTCGTTTGTTTATGTGTTGCATATTTGTTATATTCGTTCATTTTTTGTACATAAATTAGGCCGTTAGTTTTCTTGTTTGAATTGTTTTACATTGTCATTTCGGGGCTTTTTATAGCTGACTGTGCGGTATGGGCTTTGCTCATTGTTGAAGGCCATACTGTGACCTATAGCTGTTAATTTCTGTGTCATTTGGTCTCTTGTAGAGAGTTGTCTCATTGGCAATCATACCACATCTTCTTTTTTATATTTACATCAACAGATATAAACAATTCATCAAAGTCAAGGTGAGACAACAAAACTTAGTGGTAAGATCTATGAAATTTTTTACACGGTACAAGTTTTTCTCATTATTGGAGACTGTACAGTGACAGTAACACCTGTAACTGCTTAAACCCATTTCTTATGCACTTTAGTTCGATAAACTCACTGAATATCATACCACATCTCCTTATTTTTATATGCATTACAATTTACATGTGCATGTAATTATAAATATATATATATCAGAACAAAATGCATTGCGTCACTTTTATTTCTGCATCCTTTGGCACAATACAAGTTCTAAAATTACACAACATAAAACAACTAAATGTTATTTCGGATGAAAGTTTTGTTTCAGTTCCATTCATAGGATTTGTGAGAATTTTGTATGTTTTGCCAAGTCCAATAATTCGCTCTATGTGCACATGTTAATTGGAGACTTTTCTATCCCGTATAAGAGTTTTGGAACTAATTCTGTTTCTTTTTTTGAAAAAAGTTAGCAAACAAATCTTGCACATTTAAACCTTTGTTTGCCATCACACTGTCACCTGGATCACATAATTGAACTACATTTTGTATTCTACATCTTTCAACTATTTCATAGTCACTGGTAGAACCAACATATGCATTAGAGACATAGTTGACTAAACCACCAGGCGTCGAACATACAAGTATTTTCAGTGTTTCTGTTTTTATATGATGAAAAGGTTGCCTGAGCTCTAGGAGTTTTAGGTTTTATCACGGGATATTCTGTGCTGTCAATAATAATCCAAGTCGTAGGAAACTTTAATTTGAAGTTGGATGGCGAAAAATGCCTGACTAAACCACTAGATGGCCAAGTGTTAGCCTCACACCACTGTTTAGGCATAAAAACAATCCATGTATACACAATATTCTTAACACTAGATTCAATCTAGAATCTAGAAAGTTCAAAGTTGGTTGTATAATGCCTCAATTTCATCAAAGTCATAAAAAAACTGATTTTCAACTGACACCCTATCAATTTGAAAATATATGTATCTCAAACAATGTGCTGTTGGACAAAGTGTGGTCAAAACAAATAAAAATTTAGTATACAACTCTAAACCAGTATAAAAATGCATGGCTGTGTCACGTGTCTTCATTTCAAAATTCTCTGCTGAAAACATAGACATTGATGGTGTTTGCGTAATTCCATCTTGGAAGCTCAACATTAGCTCGGCAGTTGGTGGTGGACAGTCATACATTAAATCCTTTCTGCAGTATGAATGACTTCTTCAGGAAAACCAACTTTACAATCAAAACTTTCCTCTAGATTTCTACTACAATATTCATCAAGTTTAGTTCTTTTGTTTTCACAGGAAACTGCCCTGATTTTTCTTTTTGCGGACGATTCAGTCTCTTGCTTGGTCCAGGAAAATAGGCTGGGAATGGCAGTAGACTTAAGTCTCTGTATGGTGGGTTTGCGCCTTGAAAAAGGTTATAAAACATTAGTTTTTTTATAATTAAATGAACTTCCATTAGCAATGTATACTTTGTATTACCTGGCCAAATATTAACTAGATTTATTCATTACAATCTGGATAAAACTATGTTTGCCTGATTCAATGTATGTTATGTAAATCCAAAGGACAAACGATGAGAGACTTATGCAACAAACGTACATTGTCTGTACCTAAATAACTATAATATAGATGAGAGCATGTCACTGTTTTGTTCCTGTTAACATTGTCATTGATATTTTTCAAGAAAGTCTATGAGGCATAGCTTATGCATTCCTGTCATTACTACATTAGCATAATTACTGCTAAAATAATTCTCAGTATGATATACCTCTTGTAAGAAATCATTATAATTGTAGCAATCACCAAAAAATCTCACACAGATCACATTGAATCGTAATCCAAAAAATTATGACGTCTTGAATTAACCACCCCCTTTTATTCTAAAACGATAATTGCGGTTGTAAACATACTTTGGTTTATTCGCATGGCGATTACATATATAACTATATATTTCAAAAAGAAAATAGAGTTTTACCATGCATAGTTTCGTGCACGTAGTCTTTTTCAGTAAAATGTGCCTTGCAAACAACAGCTGATTGAGATGGACTCCACGATTTCATCGTGTTCTCGTCCAATCTGCGTTTGGGCCATGGCGTTGATCCAACTTTTACTTGTTTTTAAGTCATTTGGAAATGCATGTCCTCCTCTTAAATGACATCCAGGAACACAACAACAAGTACTTGGCATCGTTAATTAAAAATGTAACTGAAATAGTTGCACAGTGCAGAAACCGGAAGTTGAGGAACAGGATCGGCTACCACGGCGCCACCTATTCAGGAACGATAATTTGCTACTTTATATAACTGCGAAATAACAATAACGTTAGACGGGTTCACGTGCATGGACAGAAATGCGCTTTAAATTGTATAATATAATTAATGTTCAGTCGACTCTTAATTATTATATCAACGACTGAAATGATTTATAAACATCTAGATTGCAGATAACACTCGAAATTAACCCGAGCTCTTTCCACACGGAATTCAAATAATTCTAGTTTGTCAATCGGTTGACTGCTTATAATGCAAAATACAAATATATCAAAAGTTTTTAAAACTAACAAAACACAATGATCGTTTCTCTATTTACCAATGTAAATGAAATGAAACAAAAAACATTTTATATCACAATAAGAAGAGGAGAGAATTCAACATTTCCGGATCTACTTCGAGCCTAATGACCCCCCACGTAGATAAGTTGGATATCGCGGAAGGGAGGATTAACCCGGCAACTAGAAAGGCATTAAAGCACTGCCTTTAAAAAACAACACAAAAAACCAAAGACAAAGCTTAAGTGTTTCGAAAGCGTAACACAATCCTGCTCTACATGTGGTACCTATCGTGTTGCTCATATAAGTACAAATTCGGTTATAAGTGTAATTCGATGAATATGGCGGCGTCTGTAAAATTTTCGAAGGGATGACTTCAACTTTTGGCATTTGGAAACCTTGGTTGAATTGCTTCCTTATAAGCTGCAACCATCTGTCAGGAAAGTTATGATAAGAAATGCAAGCTCTGGAATATCATTTCAACTAGGAGATATATACTCCATATGTAGGCGCTGCTAGAATGTTGCTACATAGAAATGGAAATTTCACAATTGAGAAACTAAAACCCATCTCTTTGTTGCAAAGTTTTGTTCTAAAGAAGTCATTGTCAATTTCTAAATATAAATAAAGATATGATACAAACTCAACTGAATCTGGTGTATCGTTTATTTCAAGTTCGATGGGTTAGATGCGTTCAACATGATCACCAAACTTATTAATAATTATTTAGTGTAAACAATATTTTATTGTGAAAATAATAACATGAACATTACAATATACAATTTTTTGTTGAAAGGACATCATCTATTTAGAGGAACGTCATGTTAAAGGATAGTGATAGTCCCTTTTAATTCTTTCTAAAAACCTCCTATATGAAAATCTGCTTGTAACTGTATTTAAATATACTGATTGTGGTAGTGACACGAATCTGATCTTAATAGGTAATACAAATCTATATAAGAATGCAATGTGACATCCAATATATCACTGTATATATATTGAATTAATTTTAAAGACTGGGTAGGGGAAAATGAGCTAAGATAATGAACCGTTTCGATCTTTTTCTTAAAATAAGAGCGACACCTCCGACATTTGTTGAGATTTATTCTTTTGTCAAGATATTTACGTCGTCTTAGGTTAAGGTTTATGATATCTGTAATTTTGATAGCAGTCTGCTTGGAAATATTTCTTTGTAATCATTTATTTATGCAGTAGATAAGCCCATTGTAAACACTTAGGGCGTTCATGTGGTATGGTGTTACCACAGGTAACGAAATAATGTTTTACTCATTTATGCAGCTTTTGAATTTTTAGAAAGAAGTGTATTTAAATAAAAAAGCTTACTTTTTTGTAACCCATCCTTTAAATTTTTAATATTTGTTCATCCAAAGCAACCATCGTCATACATTTTTAAAATGTATCTTTGAAAGAACGTATTATTGATTTTCTCAAGGTTCGGTGTTTCAATTCGCTTGTAATGTGGCATAACAAGCTGACCTAACAAAAACCAGCTGCATAGCTGTCTTAGTCGAAAACAACTAGTTGTGCTGATTTAGACTTCCTTAAACTACCACCTGACCACATATATAGTCGAATGTACAAAAATCATTTGAAAATTTTACTAGTTCAAAAATGTAATCAGCAATATTTAAAATATATACAGCTAGATCTTCAAATCAGTTCTGTATTCTCAAACACGGCTTTGTACTTAAAGGTCAATCCCGTCAATTAAAGCTAGTTGTCCATTTTCAAATAAGGTCGGCCTTTGTAGTGTACCTCTGAAATTTCTGTTCACAATTTTTTGTTTGCAGATTAATCAATTTATAAACTTAATTTTTTTTATTTTATGGGGCAAAGTAATTCTTTCAAAACCTTTCCTTTTAATACGTCACATTTGAACACATGTTTGTTTAATAATTTATATCTATTTTCTATTTAATGTCATATATTTATAAGGGCACATGCATAGCAATACATAACATACAAGTCTATTTGAGTGTATATTAATCAGTAAAAAAGATTAAAACAATTACACAAATATAATTATACATTGCCTTAAAACGTCATTTTTATACATTATGAAACGTAAATATATAAAATGATTGCAATGTGATGAAAAATATCCGCAATATTCCGCTAGACTTACTAGCTTCACCTGACAGGGGTGAAGTTTTTCTGTTGATAATCGGATGCTTATATAATATATGCGTTTCATTAAACAAGTCTAGACAATAACGTCAATAAAATATTTTCAACTATATTCATATAATGAAATAAGTATATTCATTAAGTTCTGATTCATAAAATCAATAATTTGTAAAATGCAAAATAATTTTTTCAAAAACATAATAGATATTAATTAAGAAAGACATTTTTACACTGATCATCTAATAGAGAAGCAGTCTTGGATATTTTGCGTTACGTTTTTTTTTGTCAATATCATTATAATTTCAAATGTTTTAATATGGGAAAAAAAATATATTCTTTTAAACTATCTTGGTCAAACATATATAATGGTTAAAATATTTCTTATTCTTAAATATATACTTAATACAATAGAAATAAAAATTCAGGACACAATGAATGTTTGATTTAGGGTGGTATAAATAAACGGGATATTTTTAAAAATCAACCAGTTAGTACACTATATTTGTAACAGTCTTGAAATCAAGAATATGTACCTGTATGTCTCAGGAATATATATTTTTCTTTATATTTGTATATAATGTCTAACAATATAATATGAATTTAAGTCAATTAGATTTTGATGTATATATCGAAGGGCGAGTATTCGCAAAATAACATGTATAATCTATATTAAATAATGCAAATTAAAATATTAAATTTCGCAACAAATTACCATCATAGCATTTAGTTTGCAAATTAAGTTTTGAATGTCAATACATTAAACAATTTGATAGACACAATTAGGAAAATCTGTCGCATTTATTAGATGATTACAAAATTTACAAAGCAGAACGAATTCAGGGCCATTAACATTTAAAAGTGCATTGTTGCAATGATGATTATTAGAAAACAATTTTGAATATGCGTATGAGTAAAGCAGATTTTCGTTTCTTTATTTTATACCATCAGACATAAAAATCAACACATATAAAATCTATTATAAAATTCTGAAAATACAAGAAACTCTTTTATAAAATTCCTATCGATTTAAGGTCAGTTTTGTTTAGTACAAAATCTTATCTACAAAGTACAAAATCTTTTTACGCAGTACACAATCTTACTTACACTGTTTTAAATCATAATTATTTCAAGTCTTCCTGTGAACTTATTAATATCTCAGATTTATGCTTTCAGGATTTTGGTGATTTTATGATAGCCTGAAAATAAAATAGCATGGTATTTTAATGGAAAAACAATGAAAAACGTTTTATCAACCTCACAACTATGTGTTATTTAATTTGTAAATTTACATGTTTTGTATTATTTATTTTTAGTTTTGCTAGGTTTGTATTAGTTAAAGCAAGAAGGTCAAATAAAAACTACGATATCCTGTGAACCATTTATTTCAGTAGAATGTTGCTCTTGGATTAACCAATAACAAACTGTCATTTAACAAGCAAAAATTTTAACCAGACACAAAGGACGGGGAGCCATAATGACCACATTAATATGTGGCGAGTTAAATTCACTTTTTATATCTCTACCTGTTTATTCTCGATAAGTGGATCTTTGTTGAAATATTCAAGTTGATTAGCAAAGCATGTAAACTATATTTTACAATCCTTGTTTAGGTGCACTTTAGATATTTATATTTGTGGTCGTATATCTTACCGATTTTGTCATGTAATTCATCATGAATTGATACATCTCCGGCTTCAAACATTTTGATTTTGAGCGTTCCTAATGTGTGTTAATGCAGAAAGGCGCTGCGGACGCATCAAATTTATAAAGTTTTATTTCCATTTTTAACGCTGGGTGGATACTGCTGCTCATGGACCATTAGATCCCGATGATATCATCATTCCAGTAGTCAGTGCTTCGGCACTGACATGATTTATAACATATATTTCATAAATGTTCCGTTGATAAATTAAGAAGTTAACAAAATCTTGGCTCCTCGAGTATTAGTGTACACCGACTTTCCAGTTTTGTTTTTTGTTTTTGTTTTTAAGAGTCCTAATGACGTTCAATCCAGAAATGAGCTTGGGCATTTCAAATGTATCAAGTGGTATTTTCATTCGACTAAAGACTAGAGGTAATTGCCCTGTTCGTAAAATACAGATTATCTTTAGACTGCAGATACATATCTTACTGTACATTGTAAAGGTAATTACCCTGGTTGTAACATACAGGTAAAATGTACGTAGTTTGTATGGATGGATTGTTATATATCTTACTGTACATTACAGTGGTCATGTTCGTCATTGCAATATCCTGCGGAAAGTACAGAAATTATACAGGTGTATATACATGTGCTTAGATATCTTACCGTCCACTTTAGGGGTGATTCTCCTGGTCTTAATATACAGGTGACTTTTGTGAATAGTGATATGTTCTGTATTGCTCCGGTATCATTTTCTTCTGTTGGCTTCCAGTATAAAGTTAATACTGGATTGTTCCCTTCTTTTTTATACAACGTGTTCTTAATATCTAATTGCTACAAACAGATATGTATAATAATTTATAAATCAAATTGTAATCAAAATTTCATTCTAAGACTTAAATATTCTTTTTGAATTGTCCAAGAAAATATTTGGTATCCCTAGAAAATGTATTTTGCTTTTTTAATGATTCAGTTATTCAGTTATTCCTGAGCATGTGCCCTTCATACAGAGATATGAATTGTCAACATTTTGATACAGGCCCATGTAGGCATTTATTCAAATGCACTTGATAAACAGTGTATTATTTAATTTATCTGAAATACTTGATATGGCGATAGTTGAATTATATATGATGAAAATTATTGATATTGTATATGAAATATTTAACCCATAAACTGGTTGGTGTTGACTTTGTGTGCACGTGCATTGGTTGATAATGGTCATACAACTATTTAAGTATAGAATTTAGTAAAGTCCCTGAAGCTATCAAAATTGCTTATAACTAGAAAACTGGAATGGAAGCAAAGACCCTGCTTGTTAATGAATTATCAGAGGAAAATAAGGTAAACAATCGAAAAACATTTTACATTATCTTTTACCCTTCATTATCTAATTCACAACGGTAACAGAATTTTTATTTTTTTTAATAAGTGTTTATAATTCCATTTCATTCCAAGAATTACTGTAGTAAAATGGGCAATCACATGAAATTGCTATCACAATATTGGAAATTTAAGCAAATAATAAAGCATAATTTCAAGCTGATTCCCTATTTTGTGTATAAAAATATATATATAAATTTGATATGAAGAGTTTGATTTGAAGCTGAATGACTATATAATTCATGTCAGTTCTTGAAATACTAGTACTCTTTCAGAATTTACGCTCATAAAAAGCTATTTTAAAACAAGAATGTGTCCATAGTACACGGATGCCCCACTCGCACTATCATTTTCTATGTTCAGTGGACCGTTAAATTGGGATCAAAACTTTAATTTGGCATTAAAATTAGAAAGATCATATCAAAGGGAACATGTGTTCTAAGTATTAAGTTGAATGGACTTCAACTGCATCAAACACTACCTTGACCTTGACCAAAAACTTAAACCTGAAGCGGGACAGACGGAAGAACGGACGGACAGACGGACGAACGAACGGACGCACAGACCGAAAACATAAAAATACTCATCAGAGATACAAAATGTGGAATTCTTTACGTTGGTAAATATATCACGAAAAAATGTGATGTATTGAGTTTTATATTATGTTTTCAACAAAGTTAACTTTTAGTTCAAAGCAACCAATAGTGTTTGTTAGAGAATTGTAAGTTACAACTACTAATTCGCTATGTTGTGAATTTTTGTCCAGAAAGACCATTTTTTCCCCCCGATAATTTGAGAGATTTCATCGTGTTCTTGAGAATGTGATTTACCATTGCAGGTTTATTTTTTTTAATTACATATTTGAATTGACTTGGTAAAAAATAGCTTGCATGCAATTTCACGTACAAAATCACCGTGGGATCAAAACCGTATCGTATGTCCTTAAATATCCACCCAGCTCAGGCAAAAGAGTGAAATAATATGTGCTCAATTACAAACTTTAACAAATTAAAAAATATAAGGCTCCCACATCTTTAGGGCTGGGTCAAAATTATGTTAAACTTATGGCACTGTAAGCAAAGCTAAATATTCATTCCCTTGTAAGTCCAAACTTATGTAGGGGCAATTCCAATAGTCTTTTAGATAAAAAAAAAAAAAGGATATGCACAATGGTATTTTATGGTGAAGATTCAGGAAACAGCGAAATTGATTTTGATGAAAAATTGAAAAAGGAGTTGAACAATAGTGCGAGAAACATTCAATGAATTGTAAGAGAAAACCCAAAAATGATTCTGATAAAAACAATAGCATTATACATGATATATTGGTAAGATTGTGAGAAAGTTTCAATACATTGTTTAAAAGGGGTTAGGAACAGGGTACACATTTGGTATCCCAGATAAAGCAATGGCAAACTCCATTACTTACATTAGTAAGATAAATCCCAAAAAATAATTGCACCAAAAACACAATATGAAGTGCACAATGCTATTATGTGGTTAATATTTTGAAAATCAAAGCACTATGAGCGCTACAGGCAGTTAATTAAAAAACTCAAGGCAGACATGGCAAACATTATAATGAATATTGTGGAAGAATTGGTTTAAATATTTATCACAGCTATATCTCAAGTATCAAAAAATGTTTGTACTGTACTGTTTCCACTATCCTACCATTTGTTTTCAAAAGTTATTTACTTTTTTTTTTAAATTACTTTAAAATTTGTATCCTTTTTTAAAGATTCAATGTCTGAGAAGATGTACGTACACTGTCCCAGATAAGGGTAGGGTTTGGTGCCAGCTAACATGTTTAACCCGCCACATTCTGTACGTACCTGTCCATAGTCAGGACCCTGAATTTCGGTGGTTGTTGATTGTTGCTGTATATCATATTTGTTTTTCATTATTATTTTGTACATAAATCAGGCTGTTAGTTTATTGTTAGACTTGTTTTACATTTGTCATTTCCGGGCCTTTTTTAGCTTACTATGCGGTATGGGTTTTGCTAATTGTTGCAGGCTGTATGGTGACCTATAGTAATTAACCTCTGTCAACTTCTCCATACACTGAGGAATGAAGTTAACTTATGGAGGAACATTCTTATCAGAATTATGGTGTCTCACATTAGCGGTAGATGGATCAGCTGGTGTCACTTTGCACACAAACTGATTTAATCATACTTGGAAACAATCTGAAGGGGTGTAATTTTCTTGCATATTATATTACACAAAATGCTGATGTTGTTGGTTTAGCAATGATGCAATATATACATTATTGTACTTCTAAGTGTCTCAAATATAAAATGTACAACATATTTAGTACAAATACTTTTTTAATATTTTAATAGTCTTCATTTCTTAGATATTAAAAACAAGTCAAGTGACAAAAAGGTATTCAGTAAATAAAAAAATTCAAAAATCCATAATCGAAATACTGCTGCTTAATTAGTAATTCTCCTCGGTACAGTTTAACTTTGGTCTTGGATTATCAAGTATACAAACTAACATATTTCATAGTTCTGCACAATGCATCAATATTATGAATTTAAACTATCTTTATATAACTTGTTGCAAAAAGTTTCTGATAAATGTGTATACTTCTTAGTGTGCAATAATATCTCTCTCTTTGTAGTAGCAGTTACACAAATTCTGACATATCATAGTTCTAAAAAGTATCGTTAAACAGTCTCTAAAAATAGCTGGACCGATAAGCAAACTTAATAACAAATAATATTCATGTGTTGTAACCGTTGGCAATTTTGTAATAATTCCTTCAGACACCTGAACCAAAATTTGTCTGACTAGTCGACATATGATGAGACCTGGTAAAAATCTTCAAAATTGATCATATCTGTAGATACACATGTAAATATCTTCAAAACATCATAATGGTCTAGAGTTTCATTGCTGTTATGGAATTATTATGGTGACTAGTCAATCCAGCTACTAGAGAGAATCATGTATTGCACATGTACATGTATGTCTTGCCTCTTCTAGGATAAGCCAAAACTTGGAATCTAGCTGAAATAAAAACAAATACAAATAGTTATATTGTTTATTTTGACAAATAGCATGTATAATATATTTAAATTCTCCCTCGCCATGCTCGTCCGAATTTAAAACATTTCTTTACTAAAATCCTTGGTATAATAAATAAAACAAAAATCTAGGTATACGTTTAGTTGTTCGCAGCAACTTTTCTCTTTTTTAGCAAACAATGTTTAATAACATTATAAACCAATAAATAATAACAACAATATTCAAAATACAAACAAAATTATCCAATACATTTAAATGGACTGAAATCAAACTTAATATTGTAATCATACATTAATATACGACAATAAACGGCAAACATACTGTCGTAGTTACTGTGAGCACCTTTCGAAAGTGACACCCATATATTTAGATCCCAAAACAAGAACCCGTTATACGTAAACTACTTTCACTAACTAGTTTTGAACACATTAATAGAATAAATGAAATACAGGGAACAACCACAAGTCTCAACGAAAAGAAATTTAAATATTATGCATTAGTTTTGTCCATGTAAAGCCATCTATGGGATATCCTTTTTTAAGTGTCAGATAAAAACTTTGATTTTTTACACAAAGTTATCAGTTTGAGAGATAAAATTATGTTAAATAATTATTTCATTTATTCATACATGAATATATGCATGTCATTTAATATATAATGTTTTAGTATAAATAATTATGACCTCTGGAAAGGCCATTTTGATCTATTTGCTTGACGGTAATAATTCATTAATGGTTAGATATCATTGATGCTGGGATGATTAATGCTTTCATTAATAACTAGACCTGTCTGCATAGTGTGACTAAATTACCCATGATACCCCTGTACATGCATTTTAGTTGCACTTTGGAGTTTAGTATTGAGACAACAACGTTTTGAGATATTTGGCTTTCAGTTATTTTTAAAAATCATTGCATTTACCTCCGCTATGTCTGTGTTAGGTTGACACATGGTTTCTGATAGGTCTATCTGACAGAATTATATTGTGAATTCCAAAATTAATGCATCCATTTATGATTAAATATTGCAAATCTTTGATGACGGTCTCAAATATGAGTTTTAATAAATGTGATTCCAATCACTTATCAAAAATAAAAAAATTACAAAAATTCAAAATCAAGAGATTTTACATTTGCTACTATATATGTCCTGTTGCATTTTACCCATGAATAAAAAGATCACATAAATTTCTAAATTCCCAGTATTTCCATCAGTTTTTACCTAACACATTTAAAATAATGACAGTATAATAAGGATAGACTATGCTTGTTATATTTCATACATAGATCTGTTTTAAAAATTGGTTGTCTTTTTTCCAGCAGATTATTTCAAGTGCAATATCTTTTCAAATAACATCAATGTTAAAGGTCAATCATCTTTTTTGGGTCATTTCACAATGACCTAATCTTATTGACATCACTTTCCAAAAATTCATTGGCACACATTATTGAATTATATTTGACTTAGTTAGGTTAACTGTTAACCTAAGTTATCCAGAAAACAGTTATGCCCCAAACACAAATAACTATCATAGGGTCAAGGCCAGAGCATCATGTCTTTGATATATGAGACCCATCCCAATATGCATACCTTAGGTATAACCTCATCACCTTTCTTGTGTTGGTTAAATTTCAACTGGAATTTTATCCCTCAAGAATAATATAAGATTTAACAAGTCGTATAAAATTTTACTCAGGACAACTATACCAATTTTTGATTGAAAATTATAGCACCACAGGCAAGAAATATGGGACCATGTCAAGCCTGATAGGACCGCCTGCCCACTGTGCCTTGGGAGAACACTGCGTTTCGTCAATTTCGTCTGACCTGCCTTTGCTAAATGAAAATGACACCCCCAGCCCATGATGTTACTCCATACACAGGCACATACATTGACACTATTTTCTTCTCATTGCCCATATTTTATTATTATTGATAGAACGTCTAGTGCCTCCATACCAAGTTTGAAAAATAGTTGCGAGTAAAAAAAATCATAAACGGTTCGTCGATCATCCTTGGACTTTACACTGCTTGAACGATATATATTTTTCCCTTAAAATGAGCCAGAAACGAAGATTTTAGGCCAAGGAATAAACAGTTCTGGTTTTGAAAACATATCCTAAACATTGAAAATATGTCAAAGTCGGACATTTGCTTCATGGTGGATCATCTGATTGGAAGTTTTTTGGACATACATATACTGAATTTGACGCCACCGCTTGCTATTAACATGTAAGGTATATAAAATTAACCTACTTTCATAGCAATCCAAATTTCTTATCGTATCCTCTTCGATTTTTTCCCCATGAATACCAACCCTCGAACCCTGACAGAACCCACCTTGTAATGAATGAAATGAAACGAGCGATCTGACTGGTCCATTTTTTCAATGACCTTTACATCCATTAATCACATCTCTCGTTTTATTTCATTCATATAGAACTTGATTTGACCTAACTTGAGGCCAGTTATAAATAAATGGAATAATATAATAGGAACTTCGAAGGAATTCAAATGTGCATACATTTAATTAAGATCAGTTAAGTCACCACATTTATCTCTAACCAAACAAACAAAAAGAATATAATGATTAAAAATATTTACCTTTATTTCATCAGAATCCTCCAAATTTACACGGATGTTAGTTATAAATCCTTGATATTTACGTTTCGTCTTCTAGTTTAAATTCCCGACAAACAATATTCCTGCGCCTGTTGCCATTTGGCAAATGTAAACAACTTTTTTAGAAATTTTCGGGGATGAAATATTTCCTACAATTGTTCTTTGACATCTTAACCAAAAGCACACGCGATAATAAACAATGTACGGATTTCTATTGAGCACTATTTCCTTTGTGCAACGTCAATTATTTTACGTTGTTCGACCATCATTTCAGGTTATTCTGGCCATATTTTTTGTATTCAAGAATTAAAAGTATGAAAAAAGTGTTCAATTAGTTATAAATAACCTATTAACCTGCTAGATAATAACAATGGCACCTATTTCAGAATTCGTTGGGAAAAAGGCAAATCTAGAGTGCTAGCATAAGGCAGCTTAACTTCCTAAAAATCATTTAAAAGTTATAATTAGAGGTTTAGGAGGAGAAGGTGATACAAATGTGTACTATAGCATGCTTATATGGCAAAATCCATGTCCACGTGATTTGAAAGCAAAAATCACTATGAAGAAGAATGAAATAGGATGTGCAAAGTGCATCATGTGAGTACAGTTCTGTGAAAGTGTCATTACAGTCTGTCAGGAGCAGATACGGATACGAAAGTGGGACAGAAGGCCGAACGATTAACGGACGAAAGAAGAGTCGGAAAAACGGACGGCCAGGCAGACGGAAGGACGGACTTCCCATCATTACTTACTAACCGATTTAAAAAGCTCGTTTATAATGGTCGTGTATGTTGATGAATGATTTTCAACATGCAGTTTGTCTAATAATGCAGAACTGAACACTTTTGTATAACTAATAAAATATTATCCACCATATATTTTGTAAGTACTAACATCACAGTACACTCTCTTTTTTACCCCAACATTGAGTAATACGACATCAAAGGCTTTATCTAATACTCCCATCACCATTCCTTTCTCTTCAAATGGACCAGTAGTCTAGATAAAAAAAGTGTCAACAAAATATGTGCAGAATGGTTTAACTTATTTCAAACTTCATGATAAAAGAGCTCACATTTCCTTAATCCAAAGACCGTTGACTTGTTGGTAATGCATTAAAAGCTAGCATATATCCATTTCCGTGAACTTGCTTTTGACAGAAAGTTGAAAATTCTTACTAAGTAAATCAATCCAATGGTCTTTCATAATAAACATGTTCAGTTATACTTCAACGTGTTTAAATTTTTCATAGATACATAGATTTGATTTGGACATTTGACGGTACGTTAAGGCTTTCGGGATGTCACTTCCTAATTTCAAAAATTATTAAATGAAGAGAGTTTGTAAATTAAGATACTACCGATGCAAACCTATTGATTCATTGAATATTGATTGCCGTTATCGATACTAGCATTGATTTTATTTTCCAAAATTTTAAACATAACTAAACATATCTTGCAATGAGCGTCACTGATGGGTCTTATGTAGACGAAACGCGCGTCTGGCGTATTAAATTATAAGCCTGGTACCTTTTGATAGCTATTATTTGTGTGTGTCTCTGTCCTGTATGTTCTCCCATTTATTTGTATTGTAATCCTGTCATGTAATCTTGTCATTTTAATGTTATATTTAACATTGCCATAAAAGCTTGAGGTTTGGCTAGCCACAAAACCAGGTTCAACCCACCATTTTTTCTTAAAATGTCCTGTACCAAGTCAGGAAAATGGCCATTGTTATATTATAGTTCGTTTCTGTGTGTGTTGCATTTTAGTGTTGAGTTTCTGTTGTGTCATTGTTTTCATCTTATATTTGATGTGTTTCCCTCAGTTTTAGTTTGTAACCCGGATTTGTTTTTTTCTCAATCGATTTATGAATTTCGAATAGCGGTATACTACTGTTGCCTTTATTTGCAATCCAGTTATTAACACTTGTGATACTAGATTTTCTCGATAATTATAATCTAGCACTGTACAAGTTAATGCTTTTCCGAGACGAATTAAGATGTCTTAGTGCTAAATTCGTTCGAGGTGTACAGGAGTTAGTTTTGCTCAGTATTTAGTTTTTTGTGTTGTGTTTTGTATACTGTTGTTTGTCCTGTGGTCTTTTTCCTTTTTTGTCATGGCATTGTCAGTTTATTTTTTACCATGAGTTTGAATGGCCCTTTCGCATCTCCTTTATGTTTATCATGCAATCGACCATTTTACCTTACAGATACCGATGTACAGATAACCTTCAGCATACGCATAGTATTCTGGTATTCTGTTGCACTGTTGCGAGGGAACGCTTCCATTCAAATTACTCTTTGTACTAACATGATCAACACAACGGTTTCAAGATGCGGAGCACCTGAGATGACCCCCATTTTTGGTGGTTCTCATTTTCTATGTTGGTTTGTATATTGTTGTTTGTCTTTTGGTTGTTTTTATTTTTTTGCAATCTATTAAGTCATGTCAATATACTTAAAAAGCATTCAACAGTCGGGAAGCAAAAAACTATGCGCTTAAGCGTAAAAGGTGTATTGAAAGATAAAAAACAATATTCATTCAGTGTAGGTATTAAAATATACAATTTATTTCTAATCGCTACAAATTGGGAGAGAAAGGGATCACACACACGCACATGACTCTTTCGGTGCAACATGCTGAATGTATCTGAGCCAGGACTGAGAGATTTATCCAGTTGATGTCGTTGGTTGCTCTGTGCCATGATTTTTCTTCATTTATTATTTTAAACATACATCCAGCCGTTGGTTTACTCTTGAATAGTTAACATTGTGTCCTTCCAGTGCCTAGCTTCTATAGCTTTTATACACATCTAAATACTATATGCAGGGTTTTTCACTTTTTGTGACATTGATCCATTCTTGTGATGCGCAGTTTATATTTCGTTTGTGGTGTCCTGGTGTGCTGTCGTAAATTCATGGAAGTTGTCCGTTGTTATTCTGCGGTTTACATGTTGTAATGTATTATTATATTATTTATTTATGTATTTCCCTGTGCTGAGTGTTCTTGCGTTTGTTTGTACTGTATTCCTGTCATGTAGTGTTGACATTTTAGCAATATTTGTAACATTGCAATATAAGCGAGAGGTTTGGCTAGCCATGAAAGCAGGTTCAACCCATCATTTTTTCTTAAAATGTCCTGTACCAAGTCAGGAATATGGCAGTTATTACAGACGATCTGTTTCTATGTATGTTGGCGTTTGCTTTTGTTGTGATTCAGTTTTTCTGTTGTTCCGTTGTTTTCCTCTTATAGTAAAACTGTTGATGTGTTTCCCTCGGTTTAAGTTTGTTACTCGGATTTGTTTTTGCTTAATCGAATTATGACTGTTGAACAGAGTATACTACTGTTGCCTGTATTTTCATTGTTTAAGGTCGTAATGTGCCATGTATTTCTTCACATCCTTGTCGTTAGCTTTCTGGCCGGTGTATTGTTTTCTTATTTGCAATCATACCATATGTCATCATTTCCTACTGTTTACACTATTACAATACATACAATTAATAATATGTGAAGCCTGGTTACATATAATCATTGATGTTTTTTTAAAGATGTTATAACAAAAGTCTCCAATATCCTATGCGTAAGTGTAAATCCAATTAAATATTATCATCTCTCGGGAACCACAAAATACAGAACACAATCTACACATGCTTACTGTTGACCTACCTTCACGAAGACAGCAAAGAACAGTTCTGAACTTAAATCTGACGCTTGTTTACCATGAATCTTTCTGTCGTTACAGTTCTCAGCGATGCTCTTTATTGCAACAGTAGACTTTTCACTTAGTTCACAGTTATCTGGAAAAGGAAAAATGAGCTAGTGATTAAAATTCTTCCTAAGAGTATTACTAATTATCAATTATTCCATATCCATTCTGATATCATCTCAAGACTAGTATATTCTACCAATTCGTAAGCAGTTGGTATAAAAATGAAGGAAAATATTTGAACTGGTCTGCAAAATGCATTACATTACCCTTTTAATTATAAATTTTCACTGCGAATTTTTTATTCTTTTATTCAAATGACATCTGCTTAACAATATTCGTGGGGTATTTTAAACAGATCTGTTAATTGAATGCATCACCCTGACTTATATGGCATCTGTGATAAGTTTTATATGGCTAACCTAAAGCTGCAGCCAAAGTCCTGTGGACCATTACATCAGCATATCTTCTGATAGGGCTAGTGAAGTGTGTATACAAAGGTATATTCAATGCGTAGTGACGATACAGTTCTTCATCATCGATACACCCAATACAGAAATACTTGGCTTTCTAAAAATAAATAAATAAATAAATAAATAAATGCATGGTGGTGATACAGTTTTTTTTTTAATTAAACTAGGGAATAGTGACGAGAAAAAAATTCATCCGCTCAAGAAGTAGTTAGTAGTCTAGTAATATAAATATATATAAACGTATGGTGATGATATATGTTTTCATCATCAATACATTCGGTACAGAATCCCACATATATATATAAATAAATCAGAGCTTTTTGAAGACACAATGCTGTATCATGAATACAATGAAATTTTTGAAAAATTCTAAATAAATATAGGCAAAGTGACGACAGTCTTTGTCATCATCGATGCATCAAAAATAGAAAAAAAAGAATGTCTTGTCAAAAAGATATTGCATAACAAGACAACGTTTTTATTACACATGAAGATCACTATCACTTTCATCTAAATTCATACTTCCTCCAGTCCTCCTTTTATTCCATGTGGGAACTAACTCCGATATTTGCTTCATATCATCTACACAGATAGTATCCTTTCTTGCATCCTTTTATATCTACTATTTTCTGCATCCTTTTTTACAATGGTGTTTTTAGAATAACCTCAGGGGAACCTATTTGTTACCTATGCATAAATATTCATTGCACGTCACCTTCATCTGATTTCAGATATACACTTCAATACAATCATGTGTATATGATGAAAATCCTTTTATTTGTAGCTTTAAGGACAGTAGAATAGCCACAAAGAGGTAAGGGAGGATGGGGAAGTTGACACAATAAGAATAACCCATCATACTCCAACATCCCCTCGAATGTACTAGTTTCATTTTAATGATGTAGACATTGCATCAAATATTGATGGAATATTTTTTTTTCTATGCCAAACAGAGGCATAAGAAAATAAAACATAGAATAAAACCGGTCACAGTCAGCACTTAACCATACCTTAATTTTGTGCATCAAACTGTTCCCCTCTCACTCTCAAAGCAAGTACACAGCCAACAATGCCCACTGAGAAAGTCAGTCCAATAGTAAGGTTATTATTCAAAATAACATAGTTCAAAATGTATGAGAATTAAAGGTTAATTAGACATAATTACCTGCATTACTTTACAACACCTGTTTATGAGCACCTGCATTCTAGCAACAGATATGTCATCACTATCAGCGTATCTCCACAGAGACTTCTACAACAATCATTGTTGGAATGATATATGTGTCTGTAAACATAGTTCAGTTCATTTTTTTCAACTTCTGATACGTGTCACACCGAACGTTCGAAAAGCCATACATATTTAAATAAAAAGGCATGAATACTTGAAGTGTTACACAGAACAGCAATTAAAGGCATAGGTAATCATTTTTTTCATGTAATAAATATAATAATAGGTTGGTTTTGAATTTGTAAATCAAGCCACTATCAACACATTGTTTAGCTTAATCACAATATTATAAAAGAATTTGGCAACATTATTAAAATGGCCTTTCATCTGAATTGTTGCACAGTAAATGATAAACATGCAAATGATTCAAACATTTTTGTTCAGATGTAAAATGGAGGCGACAGTAGCTAGTTTACCGATGTAAAATTTGTTTAATCAGTTACGAGACAAATCAAGGTAACAAATGAAAACTGAGTGAATCGAATAAACTCCAAAAGGAACGAGATTGCATGCATTGACAGGGCAAGCGTCTCCTGCTATGCATGCACCAACCGCAATGCGAATCTACAGTCAGTCAAAATGTCACAATTGGGAATAGGACACAATCAGTCAAATTAGAGATCAGACGACTACACTGGTGTGTAAAGATCTAAGAACACGAAAACATGTCGGTCGTGAGTTGCACACATCGCATCGGTCAACAAATCCGTGATGGTGACCGTAAAACTTTGTCTTTTTCAGTCGTTCTTCTTCATTATCTTGTTGGATCAGTATTTTGTGTAAGGAGCACAACCATGATAACGAGGTCCATATAGTGTGAACATACACGAGCGTTACGTATTAACCGAGATATGTAAACGCATCACGTGACGTGGGAGCAGAGGGTATGTTACTACTGAGAAATGGGTAGTTGACAATTCGAAAGTTTAAATCATCACGTCTGTTATAGGTTATGGTTTGAAGTCGTCCATATATGTAATTCAGAAAGGTTTAAGATAAAATATCTTTTATAAAAAAATGAAAGTGTATTATAACATATGATGTTTCTATATAAAAATGTCCTGTCTGTCTCCTTTTTTATTTCAAGCGTTTGCATTCTGTCATTAATCAAGATTTGATAATTTGAATGCCTCATTTATTTTGAAATACCTAAGGGTGAGAAAGAGACATGCAACATCAATCCACTAACAATTATTCATAATGTATGAATAACAAAAACAAGTTTGTTGAAGTCATACTTTGCTCCAATCTCCTGATTCTGACATGTAAAGATTACATGGGCTATTTGGAAAATTCGTAATAAATGCAAATTCAATAAAATTAAACTGAAATGGCAGTCTGTACGGACTTTGTGGAAATTTCCCATGAAAAACGGATTAAATGTTCTCTTGAAACTCTCGGATGTTAAGTAAATATGCAGAGCGAAAGTTAAACTCTCTATCAAACAAATATAGGAAAAGAAACTGTTACTGCCTCCACCGATATTTTCTTAGCTATAAGGTGTGTTCGATTTTTATATGTGATAGCGTTTATTACAATATCTATGGGAGGTTGCTATTCTTGCAACATATTTAAATATGTTTGACGGAAAGAAGACTCCTTATACTTTAAAAAACAAATTTAAATGATATCGTATTTGTGCCAATCACATCAATACATTTTAATGTTAATTTTAACATATGACAGTCAGTGAACACGATGAACGATAATGATATATGGTGTATTATGATTCTTATGAGGTAATAACAACTTTTGGGGCTATTTATAAGGGTTAAAACTCTTGGAGTTTAAAATCATTTATTTTTTTCCAGGCCAAGTGATTTTGTTTTGAAATACAAGTGTCCCTATGTAAGCAACCTGTGCTACTTAGGTATTTATATATCTTGTCTTGCTGAATTAAAAAAAAAAAAACACAACAAACTCTTTAAAAAAAATAACATGTTGGAACGAAAATTAACTTATTTCTGATTTATAACTAATAATAAACTCTTCATAGATACCATGCTTAAAAAATTGTACGCCAGAATCTAGAAAAGACTCATCAGTGACGCACGAATAAAAAAAGTTGATAAATTTACATTTTCCTTACTTTCTCTGGTAAGGTATATATATATTCCTGTTGTATGGAAAAAAGTATAACAAAATTATTGAACTTTAAGAAACCTCTTTACATATAAATACACAATAATTACCTGTATTGTACCTGCAGATGTAGCATCAATAGGGAATCCCACGTTTGTGCTCCATTCAACCTGAAATATAAGACAGATGAAACACACTTATGTGGAAATACACATTTTCATTCTATAAAATATTGATTTTTTTTTAAACGACTTTAACTTTTCATTTGTCACCTGGCAAGAGAAGCTCTAATATCTGCAAAAGTAAACAATTAAATAAAATAGCTATTACAAATATTTTGCAGACCAATGTCTTCATATCGAATGTCAAATATCTATTTTGTTGTGAAAGAACCTTTTTGTGCAGACGCAACGTTAAACATTTACCAAACAATTAATCAATCAATAGATCTTTTCAAAAGAGCATGTTTAATATATTTCCACAATGTCTATATAGTTAGTCATTATTTCATCGACTTTTTATCCAAATGTAAAACTTTTGCATTTTAATTTTTATTGTCTTTCTTACCAATTCATCCACCATTTTGGACTGTGGTTTGGGATGTCTTCGTAACAATGCTTTATCTGGAAAATGTTTCTTGATCTTATCAGCAACTGCTATATTAGCCAGCAACATAAATTCTTCTACCAATCTGAAATATGTCCGTTTTATCTGATTATTTGTCCAATTATAAACATATCTTGAAAAAAAGAACTTCTTATGTTATACATAACTCACCATATTATTATGTTAAAAATATATTTGTAAAACTTAAAATTTTCATTTCAAGGAACAATGAAAGTACCAAAAATCCTATAGATTCTGAAATGACGAATTCTTAATAAATTATATACATGAAATGCACTTCTGATCATGAAAATGTGTTATTTTTTATTTTGGTAATGTCTTCGTGTCTTAAGTGACTTGTATGTATGATTTTGAATCATAGATATATTGACCTATATATTTAAACTTACCTATTACTATCCTTTTGTTTATACACACTATATCCATTTGGCATTCCAGTATCTTTATCTAATGAGAACTGTAACTTCACTTGGTCTAAGTGTAAGGCTCCTTTATCAAATCTGGCCTTCCTCAAGTTCTTAGCTATCTTATTAAATATTACATAATACAATTAACATGCAAATATATTTCGGAATTTTTTAAATGTAAAACTTAAGTTATTTTGAAGTATAACTAATATTTTCTGATATTCACAGAAGTCTTGTGTAAGGAAGTCATTGAAAACAGTTATTTTTTTCTAAGAAAGTCAAGTGGAAACCTATATGTTAAAATTGTATCAAAGGATCCATTTCATGTAAACAGCCTGACACACTCTCAAACATGTATTCTAATGCAATGTTTATGTAACAATTTTTTTCATTGGCTAAACTTTATCGTCAAATCCACAATTGAAATGTCGTAAATAAAGATTTAGCCGCCATAATGAATAACTTGATCAACAAATGCTCGTAACTACAATATAATCGGAAATAAAACAACACCTACCTCAAAAAAGCAGTTTTGATGTGATATTATCCAAATTTGATTAGTAGAACCCTTTCGAAATAAGTGGTAGGATTCCACCTAGAAACTAGTAGGAGTGTAGTAGAAAGCTACCGAGAATCAAAGATTCTATATAGAAAGTAGGCGGACAGGGAAAATGAACAAAATTCTGACTGGATTTTTTTATATTCTTACTAGCAAAATCCTACTATCTAGCTGGAATTTTAAATGTCTGTATGGATTTTTTTCTGTTTTGAAAATTGGAACTTTTCTGTTTTGAAAATCTTAAGTTGGAATTTGGACAGAAAATATGATTAGATTATTCATTTCCCTACAAGATACCTACCTCAATTAATTTATTCCTACCAGAAAATCTTTCTACCTGGAAACTTTTTAATTATCTTAAACTGGATTCCTGTTTGCTAATGACACAAATTTTGCTGTGTTAAATGCAACCAAGTTCCAGTTCACAAATTCAAAATTTGGAGAGGAAAAGAATGGAAAGTTGTGTTGGAACACAATGCTGCAAGGGTCAAACAACTACAATACTGAAATGTAAGAAAATATGGCTCATGTAGACTGAAGGTAATTTTTATACTTTAAAGATGAAATTTTTTATCTGTCTGCCAAATATATTTAGTAATCAATTAATTCAACAATAGTGCCTAATTTTACTCATTATTTGTTCATAACTCTTTATTTCATCTAAGCAACATTTTTGCAAATCTACATGTACATGTATAACACAATTTCTAGCTTGCATATATTGCAGTTTCCTCATACATTTCAAAAGTCCATTTTTTTTTAAATGAATATATTCCATGTATTTCCTTTGTTCTTTGTTGTTGAGATTCAAACTTAAATGATTGACCCAGTTGTGTATTTGTGAATATACACTTACATTTTGTATATTTTTTAGATTTCTATTAGAAAATATTTTTTTCTGTGAGGAATTTTGAAAAATTCCTACCAGGTTTTCTAGTAGGTATTTTATTTTCCTGTCAAATTATTCCTGCTAATTTGAATATTTCTGGTAGGAATCTACAATATTCCTACTAAGAAATTCCTGCTAATTTAAATTTTTCGGCTATTTTCTAGGTAGATTCCTACTACTGTCAGACTAGAATATCACTCTTTTCTGGTAGGAATTCAATGCAATATTCCTACTATATTCCGTGTTCATTCTGTGTGGAATATTTCATACAGGAATTTAGTAACACAATGCCATGACATTTATGCGCTAAAATCATTTTTGAAGTTTCGCGAAATTTTATTGTATTTCATTTATACATTTTTTCAAGCTCTAATGTATTATTACTTTTTGTACTGTATTAACATCGGAATAACATTACTGTAGTTGAAGAGTCTTGCCGACCACAAATTATCCAATTGACCGCGGCAACTTTTCAATTAGTGCTGTTATTTATTAAATTACTTTCCCAATCAGACCGGACGTGACTACCTGTATATATATACCCACTGCAATTAATGGTTGCATGTTTCATTACATTATAAAGAATGCAAATCAGAATATAAATTTTACGTTATATTCCACTTTTCTATTAAAACAATTGTTTTTCCAATAAAAATTATGATGCAAGGTCAAGTGATTTAGATGCACTTTATGATAAGCTATTTCAGTGACTGAATAACCAAACACAATTATAGAATATAAAAGACGCTTTCTGTTCCTGCTATGTGTTAATTACAATTTGACAGAATCTATTTATGAGCCTCAACAGAATAATAGCCTGAAGAGCCCAGTCCTGTTCATGTATGTTTTCACAGTTCATACTACATGTATTTCAATATCTATGTCTACTACAGGAAAATTTCACCTTCTAGTAAACAGCATGGATATGTACTGAATTAATTTCATTATGAATTACTTAGTTAATGTTCAGATGAAATGGATTTAATGAATACCTTTTGTAGATTTAATACTGTGTCTTTTATTTGACTGATTAAGTATCCATCAGATAGAGTTGGCAATTCTTCTTCTGTCCATTCCCTTTCTGGATCCTCTACAAATCCCTGTAATTTTGAATATATGAAGGATCTGTGTACAGCCAGACAGCAAATCTCATAATGGCGTCGATTTTATAATCAAGGTCACTTAATTTTCAATTCAAAAAATGATATTTTTTTGCAACGGCAATAAGGCTACGAAAATGTCAGCGTAAATACATTTTAAGTTTCTCCCAATATTAACCAAATATATCATTTGATACGAAAGATTTCAAACTTTCTCTACGTTATTTCTTTAAGAATGAAAATGTAGAATTTCCTTGATAATTTGATTGGCAAAGTTGAAAAAGCATGCCGCAGCAGTGACACTTGTCAGTAAATAAATGCAAATTTTTTTAGGGTTAGAAAAAGCTAGACAAACTAGAATGACTATAACTGCCCTTAAAGATGACAAAGGAGTTATACAGACAGAATCTTCTAAAATGTTACAAATAGAAAAAGAATTCTATCAAAGTATTTATAATAGTACATATCCAGATATGAAATCCATAGATAATTATATTAATGATACAAATATTGATCATAAATTAAATACACAAGAAAGTGAGATTATGGAAGGTACTTTAACTATTGAAGAATGCACAAATTCTTTATTCAAGATGAAATTGAACAAATCACCTGGAATTGATGGACTAAGTGTTGAGTTCTATAGAACGTTTTGGGAAGAATTAAAAGAATTGGCTGTATCTACATTTAATTATTCATAGAAAAAAAGGGGAGTTAACGAGTTCCCAAAAATTAGGAGTTATTTCTCTTATACATAAAAAGAATGATCCGCTTTGTTTAGATAATTATAGACCCATAACTTTATCAAATATTGATACAAAATTAATTGCATATTCATTGGCTCAGCGCATTAAAAACATCCTACCAAAAATTATTCATAAAGATCAAAATGGTTATGTCAAAAATAGATATATAGGTTATAATATTAGACAAATCCAGGATATAATCGATTATGCAGAAAGATTTAATATAGAGGGGGCACTACTATTTTAAATAAAGGCAACAGTAGTATACCGGTGTTCAAAAGTCATAAATCGATTGAGAGAAAACCAATCCGGGTTACAAACCAAAACCGAGAGAAACACATCAACTATAAGAGGAAAACAAAGGAACAACAGGAACACCAAAGTGCAACAAAAAACAAACGCCAACACACATAGAAACGAATTATTTGATAACAACTGCCATATAAGACTTTTCAGCTTTAAAACAATTTGGGTTTTAAAATTCTATGTTCAAATGGATTAAGACTTTATACACAGATATTAAAAGCGCAGTAATAAATAATGGATGGATATCTGAACCCATTAGCATTCATCGTGGGATCCGACAAGGATGTCCGTGCAGTGCGATAATTTTCGTTGTCGCAGTAGAGATATTAGCCTGTACGATAAGGCAAGACCATAAAATTAAAGGCTGGAAATTAAGATAGATGGGAAAACACATTCATTAAAAATCAGCCAACTTGCAGATGACACGACACTTTTTCTAAAAACACAAAAAGACATTTCAAAAGTTTTAAATATGATTGAAATTTTTGGCACATTATTAAGGCTTAAATTAAACAGATCAAAAACAGAAGGCATTTGGTTGGGAAAACATAAACACTGCAAAGAAAAATATGAAAACATCAATTGGACAGATAAACCAGTGAAATGTTTAGGTGTATTTTTTAGTTGTAATAAAAATGTTTGTCAAAAGCTCAATGCTGAAAAACATTTAGAAAAATCTGAGAAGATAATTAAAAATTGGCAGAAAAGAAATCTAACAATGTTGGGAAAAATAAGAGTTATCAAATCACTGATTATAACCAATATTACTGTTTTAGCATCTGTTTCACACATAGAAAAAGAAGACATTGATAAATTTAAAAAAAATATTTACCAATTTTTATGGAAAAGCAAAAATAGAAAAAGTTAAACGTAAAGTATTAAGCTATGGATTAGGGACTTTCCTTTTTGAATTTTCCTCGGAGTTCAGTATTTTTGTGATTTTACTTTTTGCTAGATGGTGGTCTAAAAATGATTAACATAGATAAATACATAGATTCTATCAAAATTGGGTCGATTAAAAGATTAATATATATGGAGATTTAGCCAACTGGAAAGTTATACCATTTTTTTATTTGGCAAGAACTTTCTTATCTTTCATATGAACATTGATGGTATTAACTCAATTCCAGGTTTAAATAAGCTGCCAGAATTTTATTTGAATATAGTAAAAGCATGGGGGAAAATAGAGCAGCCAAAAAACTTTTAGATCTATTCGTCAACAAGTTATTTGGGGAAATCAGTTAATCAAGATAAAAAAAACTTTTATTTCAAAACTGGATAAATAGCAATATTATCTATGTAAACGACATTATAGATGAAAATGGTAACATATTGGAGAAACATATTTTACAAAAGCTCACGATTAAATATAATTGGATGTCAGAATTTTCTCAATTGAAGAAAGCTTTTCCAAAAGAATGGCTAAATACTTTACAACAAGAAAATTCAAAGAAAACTTAAATAAAAACAAATTATGTTATATACATTAATAAGAATTGTAATTATATAGAAACATTAGAAAATGTAGACACTAAGAAAATTTATAATATATTTATTTAGAATGAGATTGAAATACCTGTTGGTTTTAACTGATGGAAAAAAGTGTTAAACATTGAGTATATTAAGAGTTCAACATGTAATATATTAAAATTTGTTCATCATTATTTGAAAGAAAATAAGTATAAAGTGTTTTGTTGGAAATTGTTACACTTTATTCTACCTTGTAAAACTTTATTAAAACAGTGGAATATCTGCAATACTTCAAATTGTCATTAATGCAATACCACTGAGGATCATGATCACATGTGTCTGAAATGTCACTTTCGTGATGATTTCTTGAGTAAAATAAAAAAATCTTCTTGAAAAACTGAATATTGATAATAATATTCTAACATTGATGAATTTAGTATTGGGTTATAAAATTAATGATGAACAATATTATGAAATTAATTATTTGAATACAAAAATGATGTTTTGTATATATAAAGCTAATTACATATCTGAACAGAAAACAGAATCTATAAATGTGTATGCTGTATTTAAAGCAGAATTCATGTATAGTTTCAAACTGCAGGCAAAATGTAAGAATACAAAATATAAATGTATTCTAGACAAAACTGCCGGATTGTTAAAATAATTTCTTTGTTTAAGAAGTATATGATCTAGCAAAAATAAATGAATGAATAAATTAATAAAAGAGATAAATTTTACAAATTACACATCTGGAACTGATTAAGTGATATAAAGTTTACCTTTCGCCGCTACATGTGACGATTGATAACGGGACTCTTCACCGTAAAAAAAAGAAGATTAGAAAATGAAATATTTATTTGATCTTAATTTTTCTTTTAACTAAAGATAATTTTTTATTCAAACATACCTGTGAATAGGCTATAGCACATCATGGCTGGTGTGACAATTTCTGTTTCAAAACCAGGAAGATATTTGATAGAAAAACAATTAACACGTTTACGGAAGAAATATGAATATTTTCCGGAATCAATACTCAAAAATAATTGCTAGATGATATATATATATAGATAGAAAATTGTTGAATAAATAAGTCTCATTGATATATACATGTTTATTTCGTTGCTGATAATGTTATAATTTAGCTGTAATTAAAACTAATGTTAATTTAATATAATGATGCTTACCAGAAAACAACCCTGGATTTCTGGTATGAACAAACAGGGACTCTTCACTGGAATGCTGGACTAGTGAAGAACATTGTTAACAGCAGAAAGTGCAATTTGTTTTTGTTGAATAACAAAAAAAAATGCAAATTGAAATGACACACGGAATGGTAACATGTTATCCTTAAGAGGGATGATACCTCCTGATATTATGAACATCAAATGCCTATTGTTATCAAAACCCACCAGGTAAACCGGCCGTGTGTAAATTCAACAGGTCCAAAATTGGCGACCAACCAAAGGGAGATAACTCAAACAATAACTCATTCAAGGGATGGCTGATCAGAGACGGCATGAAAATAAGTATTTCGCTCAATTTCAGTAGGAGAAACAGGGTTTTTGAGGCATAATATCCAATAATATATTTGTCTGCGGTAGTAAAATGTATAAATATGAAAAATATCTTGGAAATTATAATTAATCATTGGCATAAGGGCACCTGTCAAATTTCAGGAATTTAACAGTGACTGAGTGAGTAGAAACAAATAGGAGAAAGTAATGTCTTCAGAATGTATGTCTGTTTTGTTAGATCACTTATTTCCCATTTTTTTTCTTATAATCATCTAGAAATCATGGATATTGCTAGGGAAATTGCCAATTATCACATTAAGATTTTTTTCAGTTTAAAAACAAAATACTTTGTTTTTAAAACTATAATACTACATACAATAAGCTTCAAATGAAATAAAAAAAGAAGCATGTGGTAAAAAATATTTACATAAAGTAAAGGGTTTTGGACCAGTAAATTATTAGAAAAAATAATGATCCCAAGCTTAGGTAAAAAATTCAATCAACAAAGGGGAAAAAATGTTTCAGCATTTTCCCTGATTGCATGTTTACCTCTATTTTGTCATACTTTGATAGAAATAATTGTTTCAAGGCATACATCATCTTAGAAAAATCAAATATTAGCCTTGAATACACATAAATACTTCTAATTGATTCAGCATTCAATGATTCAGAATCAGATTTTTTTTTTAAATGGAAATATCAAGGTACTCTATAAAAAGGCTTCCCATTCATCAAACGTGTGATTTCTTTGTGTATGTAGGTAGCAATATAAACAAGGTAATACAAATTAAAAAAAATATAATCAGGGCTTTATTTAGAGGATGAGTGAATTATTAAAATCTTTTCCTGACTTTCTTTCCTCTCATATGACTGTAAAAGGAAGCTTGATTATACTAGGTTGAACAAATTAATGGCAGGATTTTCATTCCAACTCTAATTTGACCTTTGGCCTGACAGTGATTGCAAACCTGTTATTTGTTTTGTTGTGTGTTAATTATCTCATTTCAGAAAATGGAGATTA